GAAAAAAACCCAAACACTGGAGACAGTTATTCATGAACAAATTATAATTTATCAGTTGCTTTGCAGCATCAGTAAGGTAATAGAACATATCGCTGCCTTTGCTGAAGACAGTGTAAGCAACAGTGGGTTCTGTAGGATGACAGTGCGTTCACAGCCGAAAGACTAAAACTGCCTCTATCAAAGCCCTTATGTAACATAGGAGCCAAGCTCAGCAGAACCTTATGAAAAAATGAAAGTGTGCTTATTTGTTATTTTAAATCTGTCATTTTTGATGCAGTGTTTCTGCACCTTTCAAATGTGTTTTTTATTACTTCACAGAGTGCTAAGGACTTTTTATTACTCTTCATTGTAAAAAAATCTTTTTCCCATCCTGCAAAACACCTTTTGACTGGAATTTTTTTGTAGCCCGTAATTTGAATAAATTCATATATATATGTACCATTATCTATCTTAATCTGCAAGAGTGATCATTGGATTGCACCATTCACTCCCGAACCAGGAGAGCGTTCTGCTTAGGGCAATATTATACTTCCTAGGAAAACATTCCGCCTTAACTTAAAGAATCAAGTCATGCAGAGCATACTATGTAGTAAGTATCCTCACTGATAAGGATTCTGCATTCTATATTTGACTTGAAATTAATACACTTTTTTTTGTTATTTGCAGTTCTCGCCAGCAATGATTTTCTTTTTTCCCCCTAATAAATACTAAAAAATTTAAATAGCTCTGAACCAGTACTAGAACTTTGGTGCCCATGAAAATTATGAAAGACAATTTATGAATATTTTAAGATTAAGCAGATAAAGTGAGTTTAAAAATGTATGCCATCTGTACTAAAACTGATTATTTTTTATTGAAATACTTTGACAGATTTAATTGAGTGCCTTGCAGAGACCTGAATACATTACATCAATCCAGTCACCTTTATTGATCAAGATTTTAACCTCATTAATTCTGTTTGTTTGAGATTGTTTTCCATAAAGAAAGAAAATTGAGTGTCAGCAATTATAGTGCAATTCTTCACTGGTTTTTTGATTGTGTGATTGCCGGATTATCAGCACAGTGGTTTAGCAATTCAGGTAGTTTTTAGTTACCATAGTTCTCCCGTTAGCTCTTGAAATATTTTTGAGCATTAGCAATTTACGCTTCTGGAACTTTTCAAGCGTTCCAAGATTTCCTGCAAATAAAAAATAATTATTCAGAGTTCTTCAGCCAATTATTTTGAAGCTTTTGAGAGTATGTTTTGTGCAGAGCCAAAAAAGTTAGTTTGTTTTACCATAGTGCTACTTACTGATGAAATAAAAATTTTTCAACTGTCAACACTCGCGTTCTGTCCCTCTTTCTCTCACGCACATATATGCACAATACAATACTCTGAAATGCCATTGGTAAAGAAAACCCTCCATTGTCACTGGAAGCAAGGACTATAAGGAAAATAAATTTTAAAATGAAGTGAAACAAAATATTCTCTACTGTAAGGATGCTTTAGAATTTATGAATTTAGTGCTTTTCAGCATTTACTCAAGTATTTTTAATCAAATTTAAAGCTGTAATTTTGCATTTTTTTTCTCATTTGCTTGTAATTGTTGACAACTCTCAAGTATATTGATAGTAAGGATGGTATTTAAAATTAGTGAAGTCTTTCTCTTGCACTTTGCTTCTTTCTTATATTGTGCTGCATTAAACCAAAATTATACTAGGATTATATATTGAGACACAACATTAAGATTAATTAGTCAGTATTTATCCTAAGATCCATTAGCTATTAGTGCCATCAAATATGTCCTCTTACATCAATATTTATATACCTTGAGCATTTTCTTCAGACTTTATTCCCCTGAGCTTTCCATAATGGTTTTATTTTTTTATTGTACTTACACATCGACCTTGTCTTTGAAGATTTTTTAAAAAAATATTTGATCATTTCCTGAAATTGCAATCACTCTCCTGCTTATCTGGACACAATTTCTGGCTTCGATACTGAGGTTAATTTTAGGAATTTGTAAAAATTTTCCATTTAAAATTGTTTTTGTTTTGTTTTTAATTATTTCTATTTTATTATATTTATATTTTTATAATTTTTCTTCACAGAGGGAAGAAAATCTGGGATTCTAATATTTTTTAATTTAAAACTATATACTTCCTTTCTCTGGATTTAAGTACACACCTGTTTCCATTTTTTTTGTTTTGTTTTGAACTTTGGTGTCTTATACCTGTGCTACCCAGTTGCTGTGTCTCAGTGACAAGAGAGTGGCAATGTGAAGATGATAAACCTTGCTTCCCTGTAACGATTCAATGTAATCCTTAGCAGAAATAATTTGTCAGTGTTTGTCATGTTGAAATGGCCAACTGATCATAGAATCATAGAATACTTTGGGTTGGAAGGGACCTCTAAAGGTCATCTAGTCCAACCCCGCTGCTGTGGGCAGGGACATCTTCAACTAGATCAGGTTGCTCAGAGCCCCGTCCAACCTGACCTTGAATGTTTCCAGGGATGGGGCATCCACCACCTCTCTGGGCAACCTGTGCCAGTGTTTCACCACCCTCAGCGTAAAAAATTTCTTCCTTATATGTAGTCTAAATCTACCCCCTTTTAGTTTAAAGCCATTCCCCATTGTCCTATCGCAACAGGCCCTGTTAAAAAGTTTGTCCCCATCTTTCTTATAAGCCCCCTTCAAGTATTGAAAGGCTGCAATAAGGTCTTCCCAGAGCCTTCTCTTCTCCAGGCTGAACAACCCCAACGCTCAGCCTTTCTTCATAGGAGAGGTGTTCCAGCCCTCTCACCATTTTTGTAGCCCTCCTCTGGACCCGCTCTAGCAGGTCCATGCCTTTCTTGTGCTGGAGACCCCAGAGCTGGATCCAGTACTCCAGGTGGGGTCTCATGAGAGTGGAG